CCGTATGAGACGGTAAACACATGCAGTTATTTTCGAAATTCTAATTGAAAGTAAAAAATATTTTTTTTAACCTTTTTTTCTTAGTGTTGCCGTCCTGGCTGCTTATGGTCCGTAATTTCAAAGCCTTAACTGAGAACAAAATGACAAATAACTTCGAACGGTGTTAATTTTTGTAACAGGTTGTGCATTTGGGTGTCTACTTTTAATATGTATGAATAAAGGAGTACTGAAAAGAAATAAAAGGGCTCAAAGACGTTAGTCAATACTGCGAATGGAGAACTACTGGTAACCTTCATGAGAAATGAACGCATAATAAAAAAACATGTCTTTTTAAATGCACCCAGAACAGAATAAACTTGTATTCAAAATCTTGTTTTGGTTTCCTTCAGTATTTCGCATTTTTCAACCAAAGAAATGTATGATATTGAAAATATTTATCTAAAAGATAACTAGTTGTAGGCCAAGATCACCGACAGCAATTTTACAACAGCTTTAGATGACCTTTTGCCGCCAGAGTGACCAATAGTTGCGCTACGTAAGAGGCGCCATAATTATATTCTCCCGCTTGTCAGAACTGAACGTTTCAAGAGGACTTTTGTTAATAGATGTTTGTTCTCTTGTTAGTTACTCAATTAGTTATTTAGTTAGTTAATTAGTTTTATATTTGCTTGAGTTCATATCATTGTAACTAAACACGTTTGTTGTTTAGATTGCTTAATAAAGACTTTTATTATTATTATTACCATATATGGTATTCATTAGATTTGGGCAGACTATCTACATAAAAACAATGAATCGTATTTGACACCTTAGTGGATTTTTTAATGGCCTTCTTCCACCCATAAATGAGCCTTATCTCCAACATGGAGACGACACCTGAAGTACTGAATAAGGCAGCAGAATGAAGAAAGGAATCATAACAAAAACGCAATAAACTTTGTGATTTTCATTTACCTGAAACAGAATGATACAAGGCTTTTAATCTGGCCACAGGCAAATTTTCTTGACAGCTCAGAAGAACTGTTAAATGATTCGAGGAAGATAAGAAATCTGGTGGAAACAGATAGCCGCAGAATTTGCCCAACGAGGTTCCAGTTTTTTCGCTACCATCAAAAACCTCCACAAAACATTTATCACATGTGGGGTGGTCCCTGAGTCTGAATTCTTGGAACTTCAAGTGAATTATATGACGGGGTGGGACGGTTATGAGCCATCTGCAAAGAATGTCATCAAGAGAATGTCCCGGATATAAAGGAGAGAAGAAATATCCCGACTTGTTGGTCAAGTTTTCGTTACAGGCTGAAACAGGATGAAAGAACTGTTAGTTGATGAGACAAAATGGATCTGGTATGTTTCTTATTACAAAAGGACAGTCTGTAAATATTGTGGCCAATCAGGTAGTTATTGAAAAC